TTTGCACTACTGGTAAATTTTGGGTTATTTTTTGGCAATAGAAGATTTGAGACGTAGAAGGTTGAATTAATAACTTCTATGACTCATTACAGATGCAAAGATTGCAGTTTGTGTTTTTTTTTAACAATACTGGAACTGATTAAAAACAATTTTCAATATTATGGCAGACTAAGCCAGGGTTTAAAGATGAAGAAACCAGGACTAAATCAGATTAAAGTACATTTGGCTTTTCTAGTAATTTAACTAAACCAGAGTTAACATTGATATATAAGGAAATTTTACAAAAGATCTTGCCTATTTTTGTGTGTGAAGTTTATAATTTCTTTACGTTTTAACTGGACCTGGGCAGCAAGATATGAAATACAGAGGTAATTCTATAGCAACTATAATTAACCAGAGCCACAACTTGTCTAAATTGCATGAGACTAAATAATTACAACACCTTTATTTTGTTAAATTAATGTTTAAACAGTAGGGATGTAATGATATCCAAATCTGACGGTACGATATTTTCACGATATGCATCTCATGGTACAGTATTTCGTGATATTTTGTGGAGGTTAACATGATGGTGAATATGTTACTTTTTCGAGACTTAATCCAAAAAACTAAGATTTAAAAGTGCTTAGAAATGTTGTTTCTTCATATAGTTTGCACCAAAACACAGCAAAGGATCATGGTCTATGTAGTTCCCTGTGTTTTTTATCTATTGCTGCAGTGAATTTAAGCAAAAAAACTTGTGATTCGATATATTGTGATGGCCCACGATATTACTGAGAGACTTTTAACGATACAACATCATGATATTTTGGTTATTGTTACAGCCCTGTTAAACAGTGTCAGAAAAAATGCTTTCTTTGCTTGTAGATTGTCGCTGCTTTTTGAATGGAATTTTCTGTATTAACATCCCTATTTCTATTTTATTTATACTACCTGTATTTTTGTTCCTTACTTCTCATTTTATGTGCCGACTACTGGGAAATTTTGGGTTATTTTTTGGCTATATAAGATTTGAGACGTAGAATGTTGAATTAATGACTTCTGAGTCATTCATTACAGATGCAGACTGCAGCTTGTGTGTTTTTTTTAACAATATTGAAACTGATTAAAAATATTTTCAATATTATGGACTAAGCCAGGACATAAAGATGGACAAAACCAGCACATGAATCAACATAAAGAAAGGACATAATCTGAAACAAGTCCAGGACTAAATCAGGACTAAACTACAATTGGCTAGTTTAGTAATTTAACTAAACCAGAGTTAACGTTGATATATAAAGAAATTTCACTAAAAGTTTTACCTATTTTTGTGTGTGTGAAGTTTATAATTTCTTTACTTCTTAGTTGGATGTGGGTAGCAGAGGTAATTCTATAGCAACCATAATGTTAACAAAAGCCACAACTTGTCTAAACGTCATGATAGTTATGACTAGACTAATTAATTACAGCACCTTTATTTTGTTAAATTAACGTTTAAACAGTAAGGATGTAACAATATACAAATCTCATGGTACGATATTTTAGCGATATACATCTCACGGTACGGTATTTATTGTGATATTTTGCTTACAAAATTGTGAATATGCAACTTTTTCAAGACTTAATCCAAAAAACTAAGATTTAAAAATGCTTAGAACTGTTGTTTCTTCATGTAATTTGCACCAAAATGGAGCAAAGGATCATGGTTGATGTAGTTCCCTCAGTTTTTTTTTAGCTATAGCTGCACAATAACAATGATTTAAGCAAAGAAACTTGTAATTCGATATATTGTGATGGCCCACGATAATACTGAGAGACTTTTGACAATATGATATGACAATATTTTGGTTATTGTTACGCTCTTACTCAATAGTGTCAGAAAAAATGCTTTCCTTGCTCGTAGATTGTCCCTGACAGAGTTAAAACCCATTTCTACGACCTGTATTTTTGTTCCTTTCTTCTTGTTTTATTTCTCCACAAACTGCCACTTTACTGCTGTAAAACTATAATAAAGATTTACCACAGGCGCTGTCCCACGAAACAAAGGAATAATTAAAAAAACATGAAAACCTGTCTTGCATTTTGAACAATATCAGAGCCATGCTGGAACTAAGAAAAATGTCCATGCGACTCCACATTTTCTCGAAAGCTTGTACCCTCCCACCCAGTGCCAACCGCTGCCACTCTCTACTCTCTACTCTCCGCGCTCCAGATGAATGTGCCGTGCGTTCCCCTCTCCCCTCCGCTGCTACTGTTGATCGCTCCCCCACCGTGACGCCATTACAGCTTCGGCGGGCAGAGGGAAATTTATGTTCTCGCTAACAGCACGCTTTTATGTGCCCCATCCCCCTCCAGGACCTCCCGGCCAACGTTCAACAACGCTCACCTCACCTTTACCTCGATATCTAACTACGTGTTCAGAACCTCAAACACAAAAAGCCCTTTATCAGAAATAGATCTGTTTGGACCAAATTATAAGCTGCTTTAAAAGGCTTCGGCGCAGAATCTTCATCAATTATTGAAACAGAAAGCGGAAATGGAGGCTCCAAATTAAACGCTTGACTGCTCGGGTGTTTTTTATAGAACCTACAGCGCTATATAATGAAACAGAAGACTGCAGTCGTAATTACTTGGAGGCACTTAATAAGAAATGAATGGCTTTCTTTACCTTTAGTAATAATGAGAGTTTAATTTGGTTATGTGCATGTATAGAGGCTTAAATTTGGTCTTTTGAAAGAACAACAGGTCATTAACTTTTCCTGAATAGCTTTAAAACAATCTTGAGATGTATAAAACAAAAGAAAAGAAAGTATAAAACAACATAGACTATGATGTTGAAAATTACATTCTATTGTGTAAAGAGAGTTTTCAATTATGATTGTGGCATCGGAATCAGTATTAAGTAACGAGTATTTTCCTTAGAATCGAAATTTAAGATTGAAATTTTAATATCAGATTGACATTAGTTTCTATTTTACATTGCTGAAGGGTAAAATTGTTTAATGTTGTTGTTTTGATGTACTTACTTTTTTAAAATATTGCTTATTTATTACTGTTTTTTTATCTGTCTCTGGATCACTGAGCCTTGGAGAGCACATTTCATTCTATCTCGCATGCTTGAATAACAAATAAAGAACCTTGAACATTGAAATTTGCTTACACCTGGGCCTTTAATGAATCTTCTATCGATTTTTTCAGCTAATTCAACCTGTTTTATTCGTTGAAATATCATATTTTCTCAGCCTAGATATGATGTTGGTTTGCCTAGTCCAGGGGTCTCCGGTCATTTTCCTCCAGTGCGCTACTTTTACCAAACAAAATTGCTACTCATTTTAGTGTTCGCAAGAAATTTAGTGCATATAAGACTTAGATGGAGTAAAGTTAGAAGCCTATACCACAAAAAATTATCCATTTATTAGTATATAAATTCAAAATGAAACATTTACATTGACAATAGGGATGTAACAATAACGGAAATATCGTGATACTGTATTGTTAAAGTTCTCACAATAATATCGTGGACCATCACAATATATCGAATTACAAGTCTCTTTGCTTAAATGAAGAGTTATGGTGCAGAAATAGTAAAAAAAAAAAAAAAAAAGACAGAGGGAACACAGTCCATGATCCTTTCCTCCATTTCAGTGCAGACTACAAGAAGAAATAATAGTTATAAGCACTTTTAAGTCTTAGTTCTTTGGATTAAGTCTTGTCAAGGAATTTTAAGAGGAAAAAGTAGCATAATAACAGAAAATATTGCAATAAATATCAAACCATGAGATGTATATTGTGAAAATATCATACAGAGAGATTTAGATATTGTTACGTCCCTAATCGTGAGTCTCCCCACCATATCGTGAGACTTGGATATCGTTACAGCCCTGGCAATTAATCAATTTTTTGTCATTCAGCACAAACCTTATAATTCAGAAATCCCTTGGTGAGCTACTTGGAAGGGGGTGGAGAGCTACTGGTAACTCCCGAGCGCCAGGTTGGAGACCCCTGGCCCAGTCACAGTTTAGAACAAAACAAAACCTAGAGTCTTTTATGATTGTCGGTTTGAGTTGATTGGTAATAATAAAATTGTGAGTGCATAATAGGGGTGTAACGATATCGAAGTCTCACAATTACGATATCATCACGGTACGATATTTATTGCGATATTGTGGGAAAGCTCACAATATGCTGGAGAGGCTCACCATTAGGGTTGTAACGATAATCAAATCTCCCTGTATGATGCCGTATTTTCGCGATATACATCTCACGGAATGGTATTCGTTGCGATATTTTGTGGAGGCTAACAAAACTGAATATGCAGCTTTTTTGTTTTAAAATGCGTTGACAAGATTTAATCCAAAGAACTAAGATTTAAAAGTGCTTAGAACTGTTATTTCTTCATGTCGTCTGCACTGAAATGGAGCAAAGGATCATGGTCTATGTAGTTCTCTGTCTTTTTTTAGCTACTGCTGCACTATAACTCTTAATTTAAGCAAAGAGACTTGTAATTCGATATATATTGTCATAATCCACGATATTATTGTGAAATCTTTGACGATATGATATCACGATGTTTTGGTTATTGTTACATCTCTAGTGGATAATTAAGGAAAACTGTTATGCACTCGGCCCATTCATGACAAACGTGTGTCAGTATAGTCACATTATCTTTGTGTTTTGGTAATTTTTAAGTATCCTTGTTTGTATTTTACTTAAATAAATGACGATTTGTGCTTCTTTTTACTGTTGGCAAGTATCAAATTTGTCAAAAATAGCAACGCCTGGGACATTTCTTGTATAAAACTGGGACAAATCACTGGTTTTGGATAAATCTGCTGGGACAGGGGACACAGGGCTCAAAACTGGGACTGTCCCGGGTAAATAGGAACGTCTGGTCACCCAATTTATGACAGACGTGGCGCAAAATCTGCTAAAAGTTATGAATTGGCGGGAACCCCAGTGCTCGTAGGCGTCCCGTGCGCACACCAATCGCGTTACATAATGTTAGAAATTACACAAACCCCATTAGAGTCCATCTCTCCGTCATGACGTCCTCTCATCTGCTCGTGGCGCTTCTGAATTCTCCTATTTTGTTCTTTACTGCAAAACACACGTACACGGCTTAGTTTGTGCGTAAAGAAAACGCATAAGCCTGTGAACGAAAAAAAGATAACACAATAAAACATGCAGGCAGGCAGGCTCACCCAAAAGCACGTGACCCAGCTCTCAAAGGTAAAATTATAAAAGGTGAGGCCACTTTAAACGATATACGACGTTTTTCTCACGAAGAAAATAAATGAAGCTTGCAAAAATTAGCGGCGTAATGAGAAATTATGCCCAAAAAATTCAACCTGGCATCAACAGGATTCGATCGCAGTGCGTTGGAGACATTATTATCTCATAAAAAAAACGCGATAAAAATAAAAATGCTTACCGTTCGGGGAAAAAAACAAATTATGAGAATAAATAAAAAGGGAAAAGAAGGGTTTGTGGTGGTGCAGAAATTGTCCGAGGAAGAGGAGGAAGGTTTGAGTCCGCAGCATCGATGGAGTGAAGAAGAGGAGAGAGGACAGAGCAGAGGAGGAGGTGAGCGCGAGGCCGTGGCGCGAGGACAGGAGGAGGTGAGAGCACGAGCGCTCTACGCCCATGTGTGGCGGCGCGCGCGACACATGGTATCGGGCTCCCCCTGCCGACCAAACACGGGACTACGGGTAAATAGAGAAGAGTTAATGGTTTTCTGTGGCAAAATATCTGTGGAAATGTCTCTGTTTTTTCCTCCAGCTTCATAAATCTTCCCCATCACCAAATTTTCATCCAACAAGCTTGACATATTCTGTCCATGAAGAATCCACAACTATCAAGGTAAGAAAGAAGAAAACGTAAAGGCGAACAACATTAGTATTAGTGAACTACTCCTGAGCAAAACTATAACCTTATGGTAATGAATAAAACATAAGTAATAAGTAATTCATTATTAAGTAACTTGTTAACTCAGTCTGATTCTAGAATTAAACTAAAAAATCTATTTCATGATGTAGAAACTAGAGCATAAATAGAGAGATTTGTGCAGTTGACTAAGGATACATAGATCTTTTTCTCACTGGTCAGAAGTGCTGCGATGTAGGGTAACCATAACTCCCGGTTAATGCTTTTTTTTATGGAAAAATTTGTGAAAATGTCCCAGCTGCTTCATAAATCTGCCCCATCACCAAATTTTCATCCAACAAGGTCGACAAAGAACATATTCTGTCCATGGAGAATTTATCCACAACTATCAAGGTTAAAAAGATGAAAACTTAAAGGCGAACAATGACATAGCACCAGTGAACTACTGAACAAAACTAACATTATGATCATGAATAAAACAAAACTAATAAGTAATTCATTAATAAGTAACTTGTTAACTCGGACTGATTCTAGAAATAAAATTAAAAATCGATTTCATGATGTAGATATTAGCATAGACAGAGAGATTTGTGCAGTTTGAATGCTACAGATGTTCACAGATTACACATAACTGCACAAAATCTCTCTCTGTCTATGCTAATATCTACATCATGAAATTGATTTTTAATTTTAATTGTAGACTGAGTTACCAAGTTACTTATGTTTTATTAGTGACCATAATGTTAGTTTTGCACAGGAGTAGTTCACAACTGCTAGTCGTTGTTCGCCTTTATGTTTTCGTCTTTCTTACCTCTATAGTCAAAGTAAGCCCAGTTACTGCACAAATAGTATACAGCCCTCCGAGAGAAAGGTGAGTACTTAACATAACATTTAAAGCAGTGATTTTTAGACATCCACAGTCCAGTGTCACTACAAAAGTATATGTCAAGTCATACGATGTGCAGTAGTGAGGCTTCATGTATTTCGTATTCGGTAGTCAGCCCAGACTACATATTGTGTGTGTATACATGCACATCCCGGTTATTAGCCATATCCCGGTTATGGCAGTATTCGGGATACTCCATATACATGCACCAAGAAGAAACAGAGATACTCAAAAAACCCGATCATAACCGGGATACTGATGTGCATGTACACGTACTCATTGGCCTCTGCTGGAACTTTAAGGGAGATATGCTCAAAAGTGCATCAGTGGGCTTACCTACAGTATATTTCAGTGAACTTCGATGCCTCGTTTGCCTTTTAATATCAGTCTCTCTCTGTCTGTCTGATCACAGTTTGTTAGTGAATAGTTTATAGTGATTAAATTAGTGTTTAACAGGAGTAAACTATAATCCTCCATACGGATGCTAAAAGTGAATTATCACCTCTAGTTACATGCTAGACAGAAAACCTTCTCACTGTGTTGAGTCATACTCCAATGTCAGGATCTGGGCTCCCTCTGCTGGTGGTTCACTGCACTGTGTGGACGATACCATGGACAGCTCCATCAGCAACACAGCGCTCTGTGAAAAGTAAAATAGAAACAACAGTATATTGTCTCTAACGTCACTGATAAAAATATGACACTCTCTTTGCTCACCAGGACATGGTAGGTTGAGGATGAGTTTTGTTGAACTGAAGAGTCCCCGGCCTGTCTCTGTCCTCTGTCTTCTGGTCCAACACAAACACAAGGACATGTCTTTCACTGTGGACTCTCAACCTAGACTGCTGCTGTACATTTAATTAATCAAAGCCTGATTTATGGGACGGAGAAGGCGGCATTAAAAGATGATGGACACTGATGCGCTCTCCCAGGACCAGCAGAACAGCTCCAAGACGAAAGAACTGTGCTGCAGACCCAGAGGTGTTGGACAAATAATATGACCAAATATAGGCGAATACATTAAAAGAAGTTACTGACAATACTTTTTTAATATACCATTTACTTGGGTCTGTTGAATCACAAGAGACAAGACCTGAACAACTGAACATGTCGCAAAAGCTTTATTTACAATGACATTTACATCAACAGAAACAAGCCGACAAGTGGGCCTTCTCGTTAGAAATCCAATAGGAAGCACAATATATTCAAAATAAACAAAATAGAGGCGGATTTTCAACTGGGTTTGTTGTAATTCATTTTAAAAATGTTGTCAAACATCATTTTTGAATGTTAAGGTACAATAATTGTGAATATTGGGTCCCATAATCAAATCAATAGAGACACATTTTTACAAGTAAAAATGAAAGCTTCAGTAACAGCACAAATTCAGTAACAAACTCTAAAAACAACAAACTGCACTGACATATTCTATAGGCTTCACTGCAGTCCCAACTTTAAATGGGACGACAACAAGGAACAGTTTACTCGCCCCTGCAGGTGTGTGTCTGAATCTGAGTGAGTCTGAATTTACATGTTCACATCAAATCATCTTGTCACTAAGCAAAAAACTAAATGTATTTACAGGAAGCTGCAGATGTGCAAAAAAGAAACATTTCATCAGATCTTTTTTACAAGGCTAAAAACGTAAGATTTAATCTGCATTTACATGAATAATGCATTACTCTAGACTGGCTCTGTTTATTCTAGTTATGAGTGTTTCTGTTGTTTCCATCTATTGTTTCATCCTAATAAGAAAATGAGTGAATACAATCGTACCTTGGCAAAGCAAACGCAATGGCATTAATAATAAAGCAGCATATCTACAAACAATACATAACAGACATGACAGCGTATTGTTTCATATTTACACACTCCACCAGGTGACGACGGATATGTTCTCATTCTGCTTTAGGCACTTGACACTTGAACAAAGGTTTTGTGTAGAATAGCAGCTCAATTTCTTTGGTTTAAAATGTTTCAATATGTCAGTAAATCTGCATGGAAGACAAAGTGATCAGGTCCTACATTCTGTGTTCGAGCTTTTTCAGAGCTCAACTGTGAAAGTCCAATCTCAGCATGATCTGCTCATGTTTCACCGAGAGCATGTGTCTGTACATCAGTACTGTACATCTTTAGGAGTTCTATTTTGTTACTATTAGTTTTTATATAATAGTTTTACAGTTTTGTAAAATATTTGACTAGTAACAATGAAGACAAGCTGCCATTTTGTTAGTTAACAGTGACCCGATGTTTGGGACGTTAATGTAGTGTTAGGTATCCTCACATCAGTAATACGAGCTCAAATGTAGGCTACCTGAAGTAAACAAACTGCGTAACGGATGTACACTCTCCTACGAGAATGACCAGAAAAATACTCTTGGATACAGAACCTCACAGCAGATAAAATTTAAATATTTTTAAATAAGGCTTTAGAAACAACTAAAACCTAAATACATGGACCAAATACAAAGACACTCAAGACAGTCGTGGGTAATGAATTCAAAACAACTTTTCACAATAAATATAAGAAACACAGGTTTTATAAAAAGTGTGCTTTTGCTCATAGTCCAATTAGGAAAAAGTGCAAAAAATAAATTTAATGCTATAGGTATGAGAGGAACATTCAAGTGTGTTTTAAATAATTATTTTTAGTAGCCCTTTTTTTTTTTTAAAAAACATCTTTACCGATATTTGTTCATAGAAACTGTGTGTGACGTTATTTCTGCTTGATTATGACTCTTCATCGTCCTCTCCGATGCCATTGGGGATGTCATGCAGGAAAGCTTCTTTCTCTGTGGACATGGGCTCTCCTGTTATTGCACTGGACAGTCCACATGAGTCTGACTTGGACAGAGCTGCTTCGGTGCTGTTCCGAAGGCCATAGCCAAAGTAGATGACTAAACCTGGAAGGAAAGTACAAGTATGACCTCGAGAGCCCATTCTGTTTGGTGAAGTAACTTGAAGTGTCTTACCAATGGCCATCCATATGGCAAAGCGTATCCACGTGCCTTTGTCTAGCTGCATCATGAGGTACACGTTAATGAACATGCTGGTGACTGGCACAAGAGGCAGTAAAGGCACCTGGGAGAAGAAACAAGACAATGTAAGTCAATGGGAGCCAGGAAGCGCCCTCATGCTCTTCAGCAGCAGCAAGCTAAAAACAAACACATGTCTGTGGATTAGAGTGTGCACAGAGAGCCTGGGGATGTCCACTCCACTAATGTTGCTCAACAAGATGGATTCTCGTGATATCTGTGAGTTCACAAACTCACAAGAATCCATCTTGAGGTGCGCCTGCTGTACGGTTTAAATTTGCCCTCACAGTGGTCGGCAGATAGACAGAGCTTCTGTGGCAACATGACGACAACCCCGAGCACCAGGCCTACAGCTAATCTTTTAAGCCTTATTTGTTTTATTTTTAAACAAAATCCAGGTTTGGATATTGTTACACCCATTCATTAATTAAATTAACAGGGATAATGCACATGAATAAACATTAGCCACCAAGCTAATTTACATGTGCAGTCCCTGGACAGGAAACAAATAAAGTACAACACACACGGGAGATTGTCTTTTCTTTACCTTGAAAGCCACTTTTACTTTGCTCTGTGGCTGCCTCCAGACGATTAAAGTGATGATGAGGCAGATGACGAAGATGATACAGAGGAGAGCCAAAGACCAGTGAGCTACTCCTCCTTGGACCGCCACAATCCCAAAGATACACACCAATACGCCTGCAGGGGGCGCAAGACAACAACGTTAGAGTAGAGCGGAAAAACAAAACTAAAATGAAAACTTAAAGTGTCACTACCATTTATTATAGTCATTATTATAATTATTATGTAAAACATTTTATATTCTCTATTCTACATTTTTTATTTTGATTATTATTTTTGTAGAAGGCAGGTCTCCAGTCGAGTGTGTATACAGATTTTAGTCCCCTCAATGTTTTAAATACTCCACGACACAACTAACTTCCACTAGTCCCACTTGTGTTTTGGCTATAAACCATGTTGTATAGAAGGGCTGCACAAATTTTGGAAAAAAAAAAAAAACTTAAATGGTGATTTTTGATTGCTGTAAAAAAAAAAAAAAGAATCACGATTTTTTTCCTCATATTTATAGAGCTTGATTTCATCTTTTTAAAAACATACACGTGAACTTCGGGCATAAACGGAAGGGTGTTAGGGTCACTACAGTTTTTATTTCGAGTTGATAGGACCAATAATTCTGTAGAAATTCACATGTAAAGTTTGGAATGAGTTTGTAAAATATATTAAAGCTAAAAGCACAATGTCCATAATGTTCATGAGCTAAACGACCATTGTGTACTTTCCGGAACTTGGATTAGAAAGAGAAATAGAGGAGAAAGAAAGGAGAAAAGGTGAGGAGCGGCGGATGGATCAGAGAGAAGGACAGAGGGAGGGGGAAGCGGACTTTTAATCAAACTGTGCAGACTTTAGTCAAAACTTGTGAACACGTTAAGAGACAAAAGGAAACGCTGTGGCTCAGGTGTGTAAATCCTCGTCAGCACCACGCGCTTTTACCACCACATGATTGGCTGCTGATTAACTGGGCCTGCCTTATCTTTGAGATCAACCAAAGTAGAGATCACAATCTGTCAATCTTTTGATTTTTGGCACAGCCTTGGTTCAGTGTCCACATTGTAACACTCCTGGATTGTTAACATTTAAGAGAAGACTGAAATATGAACTGATAAAAAATACAAGAAGCCCTACACTTTTGTTTATAGAAGTTTAAACTACCATCTAAATAAATGAACCCTTAGCAACTTGATAAATTGAAATTACAGTTTCAATTGCAATATATTAAACGGATTATGTAGGATTTGCCATTAAATTAAACTGAAAATAACTAATCATGTATCCATCCAGATTGTACAGTGCATGCTTGTGTTGTGGCGCTGACCTAGCAAACTGGTGCTGATGTTGACCACAGATCCGGACTGGCGCGAGGGCTCGTGGTTCGGAGGAGAGAGGAGGTTCTTGAGCGTGAGGCCGTCGTCAGGCAACATGTCCGCCAAGCCCTCCGACACAGACTCCGCCCCGTCCGCCTCCTCCTGCGTGTTGGCCATCTCGTAAGCCAAACTGGGCTGCTCGGGCTGGTACCTGCGTCACATACAACATATGGAAATGGAGTTTTACTGGAATACGGATAGAGTTTATCAGTTCGGAAATGAGCTGGTCATGGCAGAATAGGCCGCAAATCTAAATCAAATGTCTGGATACTTCTAAACTTTGGAGGAATACATTTGATCTGTGTGTGCATGTGTGTGTGTGTGAGAAATTTGTGAGTTTAATATGATAAAAGGTGATAAAAAATGATGATAAGCTGAAAAACTGTAGCTTCAGATACCTGAGCACCAGCACACAGGCAGCCACCAGTGTGTAGGCCAGCAGAGTGCCAATGGACATCAGGTCCACCAGGTCCTTCAGGTCAAACAGGAAAGCCATCACCGCTGCAGAGAACGAAGACATTTTTTATTTAAAGAACATTTTACCACCTGCAATATTTTAATAATAATAATAATGCATTAGTCTTATACAGTGTTTTTCCAGATGCTCAAAGTCCCTTTACTAAGCCACAGCTGCCCATCAAGTCGCTTAAAAAGTCCAGGTTTATGCTGAAATCCTGATCTGAAACTAGCTCCATCTCCAGTGCTCCATGGGCAGAAGAGGCTGACTGCAGTGCCCCTCACAACAGCCACATTTACAAGATCCTTTTAATGAAATGATGACCATAGGCTTTTATATGATCTGTGCTTTTTTTGATGAGTGCAGCGTCCACAGACAAATATGTCCAGTGTGTGGGAACACTGGTGGTAAAAGTGACTTTAGAACAGTGACTTTTGAATAAGTGACAAGTGATCTAACACTGTTATGCTGAAACTTTGGTCCTGACCAGGTTTGTGCGCAGGTGCTTGTTACTGTGGAAACTCAGCGCCAACTCTGGTTAGTCACTTTGGTGGAACAGAACTGAAGATTTCACAAGCCTGAATTGCCGAAATAAGCCAGGCTTTTGCTTTAGCTCACTTCATGTTATACCCCTAATAAAAGAGCTGGACCGTGCCTCAACCTCCTCTTCCTCCTCTTCAGCAGACCACAGCTCACCTCAAACACACCTCAAATTACCCACTTATACAGGTCTACCACAACTTCTCTGAGCCTGTGTCTCCTGTTTGTCTTTCAGCATGAAGACATCACCGTCTACAGATCATCTACCCAAACACCACATCTATCCATATCATCCATTAATAAATATCTTCACTGAATACTCTTGTGGTGGTGTGGTCTTTTCTAGTGGAATAACAATAATAACAACATTGACAACAACGATAAACCTTCTACCATCCTCCTTCCACACGGGGGCACTGTTCGGCCTCATCTTGAGCTACCTACCAGACAACAGCCCAGCCACCATGGTAGCGATGATGGGGGTCTTCCTCTCGCTGACCCGGGACAGGAGCGAGAAGAGCAGGCCGTCACGAGCCATAGCAAAGATAATGCGAGGCAGAGGAAACATGGAGCCAAGGAGGCTGAGCCGCACAGGAAGGAGGAGGCAGACATTTACATAGACTGAAATATGTCATCAGCTCTGGGCTCACAGGGACCCAGCAGCACTCACACATGCTCCATAACCGAGCAAGGGGAGGGAACCCATTGGACTCTGGTCTACTCTGTTGCAAAGTTCTTCAAAGCTTCTAACAACTATAATATGACACACCAAAGAAGCGGAGGACATATATTACGCAAAATTTACTTGAGGCTATAATGCTGTTACCTCCTCAAAAACAGATCTGGAGTTGAGTTTTGTTTCATTCACACATGTTTAAGTATCCTTTTTTATTAGTCTGCCTACAGCTCCAAAGTTCAAAAGCTGCGTTCTACCTTACGATGTCATGAAGTTGTAGTTTTCCAAGTTAACATCTACCTTTTACCAGCGGCAAAGTTAGCAATTTGGGCGCCCTAGGGGAACTTGAGTTTGAGTTTGGGGCCCTCATTATAGTGCATAATTTTTCTTTTCTTTTTTTAAAAAAAATCTTATATATATATTTATTGTCTGTTTTTCCCCATTGTTTTTGAGACATGCGCATCTCCATTTATTTAAATTATGGTGGATTGGAATTGGATTGGTTTATTAGTTAGTTAGCCGACTAGATAAACACAATTGAAAGTAGTTTTATTGTTTTACATTTTTGTTTACATCCATTAGATATGATTATTATCTGCCTTTTACCTTAAGGTCAGTGGAGATGGGCAATTCCAGGGTGAAAATTATCTATTCTATTGAAGTTATATGGCATTTTTTCTGTATTACCACATGACATCACAAGGTGGAACAGTGTTTTCAGTTTGAGAGAAGAACCTAAAGCCTAAATATGCAGGATTTCTGTGTTAAATATGTGATAATGAAACAAAACACAACTCCAACTACGTTTGTGATGAGAAAAACATTATAACATCAGAAAATGGCGTAATATGAGCCCTTTAATTCAGGTTGTGTCTCCTCAGTTTCGCTATTCACTATTTGTTTTTTTTTGCTTGTATTACTATTCTCTTATCGCTCGCAACAGAATAGACCGTGACTGGCCTATTGCAGAAGTGTGAGAAGAGTGCTCAGTCCCTGTGCTCCAGCAGAGGTCCAGGGCGCAGAGGGCTCCCTGTGTGTTAGTGTTGGAGAACCCAGCCTCACCTGCCACCACACCAGAGGCCACTGTGGCTGTTAGGGGGGTTTTGGTTCGTGAGCTGATTTTAGCCAGACATTTGAAGAGCAGGCCATCCTCTGCCATGGCCCAGATCACACGGGGCATTGGGAACATTGAGCCTAGTAGACTAATGAGGGAGAAACAGACACAACCACATGCAATTAGTACATTATAATCTTTATGGTGTCGGTTTTGAAGAATAAGATTGTATTTAGGCCTGTCACGACAATTACTATATAATTATATTCTGTTAATTGGACAAAAATTTAAAATTTCGCAGTTCATGGAAGCTGCTTCTTCCATTCTGGTCAGATTGTTGGTGGACATAGCTTATATTTGCCTGAAACTGAAATTGAAACTACTCTGAAATTAACAGACCTACTTGTTTACGGTTTGTTAGCTAGATTTACTAAACTGCACTAAGTGGGGACTGTGCCAGAGTCAGAAGCTACGTTCAGACTGCAGCCTGAAGTGACCCAAATCCGATTTTTTCGACCCTATGCGACCTTTATCTGATCGTTTAATGACACAGATCTGATTTTTCCAAATGCAACCCAGGCCACTTGGATAATATGTGCTCCTAAAACCGATACATATCCAATCTTTTGACACGCGACTTCAGTCTGAACAGCCAGGTCGCATTCATTCCACCTACACGTCAGGCTCGGAGTCTAGTCAATTGAGGGAAAGCGAGGTTTGCAAGTTATTTAATATTTGGGGGGGGGGGGTTCGCTGGATTCAGGCCAAATTGGAGGGGTCTTATCAGAATCGGGCGGTTTTTGAAATGATTGCCAAAGAAATGTCCAAGCACGGCTACAGGTGGTCTTGACTCCAATGTCAACAAAAAATAAAGAGCCTGAGAGCCAAATACAAGGAGGATAAAGACTCAAACAAACGGAGCGGCCATGGACGTGTAACCTGTCCATTTTGCAAAGAACTGGACCGTATTTTGGAAGAGAAGCCCAGCGTTTAGGCGACTTCTGTTGTCGTCTCCTCCAGTGAACATGCGGGACACCTTTGGGGCGTTTAAAGTTCACACTGGAGATCACATACAAGTCGTGTTTAATTGGAAATATGAACGACCTCGCAAAAAAATCGGATTTCACAAAAAATCCAAATTGAGCTTTAAGCCCTGCAGTCTGCATGATCATCAGCATACTATTGCATCTTTTGATTTAGGTCTGAGGATGGAGTTTGTAAACAGGAGAGAGATGATGTCTGAGCCCTCCATTTCTGTTCAAAGACGCGCTGTCTTTCTTTTCTTTCCAAACAAAAGTCTGAATTTAACTCCCCTCTCAAACCACTTATTTTCCCTGGATTGAATTCCTCCTTTGCTATGGATCCTACCTGGACGACTGAGGCAGAACATGAAGATAACTACTATACTTATCATTTTCTTTGCAATAATGGGAAGATTTTAGTTGTTTTAGTTGTAATACTATAAGATTTGAGTTGTACAGGGTCGAATAAGTAACTTCTAAGACGAATTATCAGTTCATTCTGTTATTTGATTGTGCAGCTTATGTGTTTAAATGATACTTTCTACTTAAAAATGGTTTACTGGCTTCTTTTTTCATTTAGTGGCAATATTTTACCATTTATCGTTTTGTATCTCTGTAGCGATATATCAAGCTTCAAAATTTGTTATCGTGACAGGCCTAATTGTTCTACTGAAGGAAACCCAATGGTAAAAAAAAAAATATTAAAAGAAGAGCTAAAAAAATACATCGTGTAGGTGTTTAAAGGTGCATTTTGTAACTTTTCTGGTGGAGGGTCTAAAATGTTTCACAGTATGGCATTAAACCTTTCTATCTTCATGGAGACCAAACCAGACCAAGTTACAGGTCAGATCTGTGGAGAGGCGACCCCACTCACAGTCAGAATGTCTGTTTTTCTAGGTGTTTTTGATCTATAAAACCATCTGTAATTGAATAAATGTAAGGTAAAGCTGTTTAATGTCACACTGTGGAACATTCCAAGCAGAGCAATGACATATCCATAGAAACAAGCAGGTGATGGACCCCCAATCAAAAAGTTACATAGTGCACCTTTAAGGAAATGAACGGAAAAAAAACCCCAAACATTTTATAAATTTTACAAAAATCACAAACATCCTTGCATGTAATTTAACAATTAGTTGTAGCATACAGTATCTGATAAAGTACTTTATTTTCATCATTACTGTTATTATCACAAACGTTAATGCAATGTTTAGATTATAAAATATAGTTGAGATAATTAGAGAATGACCGATGTTTAGAATCCAGAGCGACTGAAGGCCGATAAGCTCTGCCGATATTTTTGGGCCAATATGTAAGGGCTATAATTGATTACTTTCCCGAAATTACGTAATAAAAATTTAGTACAAACTCAGCCACAGCCCTTTTTTAACCACAAACCTACAAGAGAGTAGTGTGGACATCTTTTGTGCAGTTATTTCCTTGCATTAAAGTGTTAAATAAAGCTTTGTGTGTGCTCTTTAGGCAGCAGAAATAAAACTAAAACTAAATATGTGTAAAAAAAAAAAAAATGTGCTGGAGATTTAAGGGAGATAGACGATATGCTAAGAAGTGCAAATATCGGCCCTGATATTGGCCCATCGATATATCGGTCAAGCTTCAGATTCATTAGTTGGTATATTTTGTTAACTTGCTAAATCAAAGAATCACTTATGGTGCGTTCGAGGCAAATGGTAACTGGGATGTTTTCTACCTCCGACATGAATAAAATGTCCTGGATCACTTCAAACTTTTAATTCCCGCTTGTGAACTCAGAAACGGACAGAGGAGTCGCACTTCACATACGAGTTAAAGGTGCATTGTGTAACTTTTCTGGTGGAGGGTCTGTCACCTGGAATGCTCCACAGTGTGACATTAAACAGCTCCACCTTGCATTTATTCAATTACAGTGGTTTTATTGCTCAAAAATACTTTGAAAAACAGGCATTCTGAGTGTGATCGGGGTCGCCTCTCCACAGATCTGACCTGTAACTTGGTCTGGTTTGGGCTCCGTGAAGACAGAAAGGTTTAGTACCATACTGTGCAACATTCCAGACAACGCAATAACATTTCCGTGGAGAAAAGCCTTTGACAGACTCCATTTTCCAACAGTAAAGTTACACAATGCACCTTTAAATTATTGGATCTGAGGTTAGTCACCACATAAGGCTGTGCAATTAATTGAATTTTAATCACTATTTTCGATTTGTGTGTCAAACGTTCTCCAAACTCATATAATCGAGTTGAAACGCTTAAAGCTTAAAGTTTATTTTGGAATATTTTTAAATAAATAAGTATATTCATTTAAATGTTTATATATAGAGATTGTAGAACAGCTGGATATATAGTTTATTTTGGATATATTTATGATTTTCTCTAAATTATTTCATGTTCAAAGGGTATTTTATTCATTTTATGTTTTATAAATCGCAAAACTGCTCTAAGATGCATATTTTTAGCCTATATTTATTTTCAATTTGATAGTTTTGCGGAAATTATCAATAACAAAGTGAAATGCTGAAGAAATGCATAGATAATAGTTTGAATTATCGTGATTTCAGTATTGACCAGAATAATCGTGATAATGATTTTTTTCATAATCGAGCAGCCCAACCGCCACATAAACGATGTAACAGTTTGCCATTTACATATCGACAATATTCTGCTTATCAGAGACATTTGCATCATGTTTGCATCATTTTGTTAACCTTGGTTTAGCATTAACCATGTTTCAAGTCACAACTCGTAATATTTAAGTGGAAATAACCCGTCTCCCATTTGCCTGGAGCGCACCATTAGTATAATTTTGCCCAGCAGTCCATGAGTCTGAGTCTGTTCCCCTCATGCCGGGTCGTGTAACAGATGCTTACCTGGTGGAGAGCGCGCACAGAGAGCCGATGGCCACAGCGTACGTCGCCCCCTCCCAGCCCACATACTTGAAGGCGACGGGCAGAGGGCTGTTCTTGTCCAGCAAGTAGTACGGCATCATCACGGTGAGGGCCGCCGACACGCCAAAGTACGCCACGAAGCAGATGAGGAGAGACGCCACGATGCCGATGGGAATGGCCCTCTGAGGGTTCTTCACCTCCTCCCCTACACGGCAACAGACAGGGATCATATTACAGAATAAATTATACTCATTTTAGGTTATTTGGATACTCAGTGTTTTAATTGAATTAAGTCTAATGTTTTGAAATTCTCAGTGAACAGCTTGTGTATTTTTAATAAAGAGGTCTTTAGACATGTGGCTCTGACTATGAAGGAATATATTTAATTTTCATTAAAGCAGCACCGTGTGGCATATCTGAATCATTCCATGGAAATAGAAAGTTAAAAATGTACTTTGAAACACTCTCCCTGCAGACAGATCAGAGAAAAGCAGGAGGAGCTCCTACAGGTCAAAACCCTAAAATAAATAAATACATCTACCTGCATTAACTTTCTGAGGATGAACATAAACACGAGACTTATAATCATTGTTCTTTAAGGTAAAAGGAGAAATTCAATTTGTCAACTGGACAGAAGTTTATTTTTTAATCAATTTATTTTTTGTCCACTTGACAAATTTAATTTCTCCTTTTACCATGGATTCTATTTGGACGACTGAGGGATTTTATACACCCTGCCCTTTAAGAAAACCCCCTCGATTCAAAAAAACAAAATGATCAAAATGACTTGGGCCTGGGGGCCAAATTTGGCCTGCAATAGAATTATATTTGGCCCGTGATCTCATTTCAAATATGTATTCGATCTGGCCCACTGGCTGCCGCACCAGTATGGCACATGCACTGCTAATACTACTACTACTACTACTACTACTACTACTACTACTACTTTGATGATTTTTGTATCTAAGAAGAGATGCCAAGTATTTGCATCTGCTTTGGACCCATGTGAATCAGAGTAAATCACAGTCTAGCAAACTGATCTTGGGTGAATGTTTTCTTTATGATTTTTGACTGTTAATAGTTGAAAGACTGGATTCATTGAAGCAAGTTGTTATTTTTGATTGGTTGTTGGCCTGTGGGAAAAAAAATAAAAGGAGTTCAAAAGCTACAGATATATAGTCTATAGAGGCATTACTTATTTAAAATTTTGTCATTATTTTATATTATGCTTGTTCTGGATTCAGTGTTTAAGCAAAAACTATTATTAACATTTATTTTAATAATATTGGTGAAATTTGTCAATAAATATTTAGTTTGGCCCATGACTTAGTCCCAGTTTTTAGTTTTGTCCCTCTGTGAATTTGAGTTTGACACCAATGATTTAAGACAAAGAGAATTGACTTGCATGACAGAAGTTACGTAATTGACATTGTTGTGGTACAACCGTTTTAAACTAGTCAAAGCAAGAATCAGAGTTTGAATTCAAGTCTGAACAGGAAATGCAGAAGCAGCATTCCAGTTTACCTGTGGTGGCGATGCAGTCAAAGCCCACAAAGGCGTAGAAGCAGGTGGCAGCTCCAGACAACACTCCCTGTAGACCGAAAGGCATGAAGCCCCCCTGACCCAGGTTCTCCACTGTGGGCAACACACTGGAAATACTGCACACACACACAGACACACACACACACACACACACACACAGACACAGACACACACACAGACACACACACACAGACACACACAAACACCAAAGTTACAACAAAGTTACTCGTGGAGACTTTTGCATTCACTTTTTAATGTGTGCAGTCATTTTGAATGTTAAATCCAGTGTTTGCTGCCCTCTGCTGGAAACACTAGAGACTGAAACATGAATATTGGAGTAAGGCTGTGCAATTAATTGAATTTTGATTGCGATTTGTGTGTCAAACAATCTCCAAACTCATCTAATCGAGTTGAAATGAAAGCTTTATAACGTTTATTTTGGAATATTTTTTATATAAATAAGTATATTTATTTTATTTTTTACATATAGAGATTGTAGAACAGCTGGATATATAGTTTATTTTGGATACATTTATGTGTTTCTATGCTTTATTTAATGTTCAAAGTATATTTTATTCATTTTATGTTTATACATAGCAAAACTGCTCTAAGATTTTAATTTGTAGCCTGTATTTATTTTCTATTTAAAAGTTTTGCATACATTATCAATAACAAAGTGTTTTTTTTAGAGAGAAATGCTGAATAAGTGCATCATGTAACTAAAAAATAGTCGTTTGAATAATCGTGGTTTCAATATTGATCAAAATAATTGTGATAATGATTTTTTCCATAATCGAGCAGCCCGATATTAGCAGCCTCATGTTTATTGGCACATAAGTGGAGGAAACATTTGAATCGTGTGAATTTGAAGCTCACATGATCAATTTTGTGTAATATAGGACCTTTAATTACATCAGACATGTGGTAAAAACATCAGCATTTTTACTGCCATGAATTTGACAGTAAGAAAACTCCTTGAATGCATGACACAGTACTTTGGCTGAGGTACTTTTAGATCATAGTGTGTACGAGGAGACTGCAGATGGACTTACTTTGAGCTGAAGTTGTGGCTGGTCCCGTTGAGGATTTCTTCTGGGTTGATCCTCCAATTTTTCAGGTCTCCTTTGACCAGGCCTGAGATGACCACGAACAGCAGCACCAGCACGTTGATACAGGTGAACACTTTGTTGACCAAGGCCGACTCCTTCACTCCGAACGCAAGCAGCCCTGTAGAGTCAAGTCAAGAGTAAGATCAAATGTGTGTTAGGGTTTCACAACACCTACAATATCACACAACCTCTTGGTTTTCAAATAGTGTGACCAGAATTGCGAAATATGGTTATGTTTTGCACTGCTTTGCAACCTGCTCTTCTCATTTGAGATCTCTCTTTATGATATTTTCACAATATACATCTCACGGTACGATATTTATTGCAAAATTTTGAGGAGCCAAGACTGTTAACATGCTTCTTGTTCCTCTTAAAATGCCTTGACAAGACTTACTCCAAAGAACTAGCACTTAAAAATGTTAGAACTGTTATTTCTTCTTGTAGTTTGCTCTGAAATGGAGCAAAGGATCATGGTCTATGTAGTTCTCCCTGTCTTTTTTTTTTTAGCTATTGCTGCACCATAACTCTTAATTTAAGCAAAGAGACTTGTAATTTGATATATTGTGATGGTCCACGATATTATTGTGAGAACTTTGACAATATGATATCACAATATTTTGGTTATTGTTACATCCATACTATTAACAGTTCTGTTAGCTCTACAAAATATCGTGAAAATATCATATTGTATGGTATCAATTTGGATATTGTTACATCCCTTAATCGTTAGCCTACCCACCATATCGTGAGCTACATATAAATATCGTACGGTGAGGTTCATACGTGACGATATTGTACGGTGAGACTTGGATATCCTTACATCCCTAGTAAAAACATTTCCACAAGTTTAGTGCCATATTGTGGAACATAAAAACAGGCAAAAATAACATTACAGAGAGTCAGGTGGATGGTCCTCAAGCAAAAAGTTACACAGTATACCTTTAAATCAAGATTATGCTATATATTGTGCAAAAAGAAGCTGTGTCAATCTCTTTTCTTTGCTTTTCTCCATGGACATGTTATTGCTTTGTCTGTAATGTTTCACAGTACGGCATTAACCCTTTCTATCTTCACAGAGACCAAACCAGACCAAGTTACAGCTCAAATCTGTGAATAGGCAGCCAGAATGCCTGTTTTTCTAGGTATTTTTGAGCTGTAAAATGACTTATAATAGAATAAATGTAAGGTAGAGCCGTTTAATGTCATACTGTGGGACATTCCAGGCAGGGCAATGACATCTCCATAGAAACAAGCAGGTGACGGACGCTCCACCTTTAAGATAAGTTGCGATCTCTTTAATTTGTTACCGGATTATGAAACATTTAGCTCAGAATCTTATGCTGTTGTGTAAAGTGTAAAGTTTTGACCTGTTAACGTGAGGATGATGACGACCGCGAACATGTCTGGATATTCTGCCAACCCCGGGGCGTTTATGCTCATGTGCTGTCTGCAGAACGTCTCGATGTGATGTCCAATCAGCTCATCGAACGTGGCGCTCCAGGCCCTCGCCACGCTCGAGGTGCCTGCGAGGAAGAGGAAGAACAGAGTCAAGAAAGAAGAGGAAGAAACAACAGAATAAAACAGAATAATCTGGGGTGGGAGCACTCTTCGGATGAGTTGTACATCTTTTATTTATTATTTTATTTGGTTATGTTACGTTCTCTTATGTTTTGTTGCTGTTGATTTGCTATTATGTTTCTTATTTTTATTTTTGTCAGATGTACTCCCCCAAGTATGAAAAGCAAGGAAAAGAAAAACATTAATAAAACATTTTAAAATTTTGAAAAATAGTCAACAAAGAGGGAAGAGATATTACACCAGGTCAGGACAGGTGAGGATTTCTTTCTGTGGGAATATGGGGAGCATTTTTTTCTTTTTGTAAATATTGAAGTTTTCCCATTTTATAAACCTGAAAATGCCAAAGCTGTACTCAAAAGTAAAAAATACTACACAAAGTACTAATTACTTTTTATCTCAAACACAAATTTAGACACCTTTTAGTTCACACAAAAGCCCTAAGGCAGGATTATCGCCAAAAATGATTCTAAATAGAAAATGTTGTTAAAAAAGATAAACTACAAGAAAACATACTACAATAGAAATAATTAAAAAACTTTTTTGTATCTATTTTTCCCATTATTGAAGTGTATTTATAGTTTACAAAATGGCAGACGATGAAGTAACTCTCTGACAATATTTTCAGTAATAGTAGGGCTAATAACTAAAATTTTTGGGTCTGTCACCTGCTTGTTTCCATGGAGATGTCATTGGCTCTGCCTGGAATGTTCCACAGTATGACATTAGACAGCTCTACCTCACATTTATTCCATTACAAGTGGTTTTATAGCACAAAAATACCTAGAAAAACAGATCAGAGCTGTACCTTGGTCTGGTTTGGTCTCCATGGAGATAGAAAGGTTTAATGCCATACTGTGAAACATTCCAGACAAAGCAATAACATCTACATAGAGAAAACTAATTGACGGGCCCTCCACCAGAAAAGATACACAATGCACCTTTAATTAAAGCTTACAGAGTCATTGCAATTAATCAACTACTGAAATAATTGCCAACGATTAAAGTAATGTATTAATAGTTATTTGGACAAAACACAGGCTCCGAAATCCATCATGTGCTGAGAGAAGTTAGAGAAGATATATATTTTGTTCTGAATGATACAAGAATTTTGGAGAGGTGACGTCTTCCATATTTAAGAGACAAATGACCAGCTGAGATCGAATCATCTAAAAAAAAGTTTTTTCGCGCTGTACGGTTCGGTTCTAGTCCCTTCTGGATTCGAACGAAAATATACACTGCAAAAAGCAAAGTCTAGAAAAGTTAAAATGACTTAAATTAAGAGTATTTTACTTTATTTGAGTAGATTCAACTTGTTAAGTCAAATAATCCACCAATGAATTAAGTGATTTTCTCAATTCAAGCAACATTCGATCGATTTTGTTTCTTATTTTAAGTCCAAAAAGTTGTTGTTTTTCTTATCTTAAGCGTAGCACGATGTATTTTCATATTTTAAGCACAAAAGTGAAAGAGAAAAGTGAAGTGAAATGTACTAAAATCATGATAAAACTTTCTTAATTCAAGTATCTTGTGTTAAAACTTCTTCCCAGTCCTTCAAAATAAAGGATAAATGAAAGCATGAACGAATCTTAACTTGGTTGGATTATAGATTTTGCCGTGTAGAAAGGACGGCAGGTGTGATAATGTTTTCAGTGTCTTACCGATCACGTAGGAGAGATGAGGTTCCAGCCGGTGATGAAGGCCCACAACTCGCCCACCGTCACGTAGCTGTACAGGTACGCCGAGCCCGTTTTGGGGACTCTCGCTCCGAACTCTGCGTAGCAAAGTCCGGCCAGCACGGAGGCCAGGGCGGCGATGAGGAAGGACAAAACGATGGCAGGTCCGGAGCTGTCCCTGGCCACTGCACCTGCCAACACGTACACCCCCGCCCCCAGGGTACTGCCCACGCCCAGCGCCACCAAGTCGAACGTGTTGAGGCATCGCGAGAGCCGCGACTCCTCGGTGTTACAGTCCACGACCTTCACGCGCAGCAGCTGCTTCCCGATGCCCTTCAGGGTTGCCAGAATCATCCTGGCTCTCCTCCTGGTGCAAAGAGCGATGCAGAGAAGTTACCTGAGGGCAAGAAGAGAAAACAATGCTATTATATTTAAAAAGGTCCTGTATTACTGTATTTTCCGCACTATAGGGCACGCTCATAAGCCTCCAACCCCATCAAAAAACGACTGCGCGCCCCACAATCCAGAGCGCCCTATACACGAATCCACCCGGGTGTCCCAGCACGACTTCAGTAAACTACAAAGCCGCACCACCCGCAGCGCACGCAAACACACACGGAGCAGACAGCGACCGCACAGCGAAAAACACCCACAGACTCACTCATCACTCCACGCCGACGAGGAACGGAACGGAGGAACGAACCGAAAAAGCGAGCGCAATGTGCCACTTCTAGTCACAACTGAACAACTGAGTCACTGCGAACACGCCGACAATCCAGCGGTCCCAGACAGCACCCTCCCTACACGCCACAACTGAACAAAGCCCAGAGTCACCGTGAACGCGCCAAACAAAGTCCAACTGACCCATCCAACTGTTGTGTTTTGTTAAAAGTCCGGTGCAGTTTATTTGTGAAAAAAGTTCAAAAATAGACCACTCTTATAATCCAGAGCGCCCTATAGTGCGGAAAATACAGTACACAAAATTACAGGTATGCTACTGAGTTGTCTTCATGGAGATGTTATTGCTTTGCCTTGGATGTTCCTTTGTGTGACATTAAACATTTCCATCTAGCATTTATTCATTATGAGCGTTTCTACTGCTCAAAAATACAATAATTCCTTCTGTGAATAGGGATGACTCTCCACAGATCTGAGTTGTAATGTAGTGTAGTGCTGTGACCTACTTGTTTACCTCATGATGCATGGGTTTAATCTATACTGTGGAACATTCTAGACGAAGCAATAACATTTCCATGGAGACAAGCAGTGTTGGGGAAGTTATTTTAAAGAAGTAGTGTTTGCTCGTTACTCGTTACTTCTTTAAAAACTAATCCCTTACTTTACTTAGTTACCCTCTATGGTAAGTAACTTTTTACATTACTCCTTACTTTGGGAACTTTTTGGTGGTAAACTCCATCTAAGGTTAAATACCGGCACGAGACCGACAGCAGACAAGTATTGTAAAGGAAAGCTGAAAAGAACTTTGAAGAGAAATTGAAACCGTTAAGAGGTAAACAGGTGGAGTCTGCTCAAAGTGCCAAGGGGATTTAACTCGGCGAGTGAGGGACGGTCGCTGGGTGTGGGAGGATCCTCTCGGGGGACTTCTCCCCAGGTGTTGCTGGCCCTCGCGGAGCGCAATTCCTCCGAGATGAAGGAAAAGCAGGTAGCAGACCCTCCACTAGAAATGTTACTAGGGATGTAACAATAACCGGAATATCGTGATATCGTATCGTCAAAGTTATCGTGGACCATCACAATATATCGAATTACAAGTCATCATCAGCCATCCTGTACGGTGTGGTCTGCTGGAGCAGCAGCATCACAGAGAGGGAGAGGAAGAAGCTGGACAAGGTCATCAAGAAGTCCAGCTCTGTCCTGGGCTGTTGTCTGGACTCAGTGCAGGAGGTGGGGGACAGGAGGGTCCTGACTAAGGTCATCGCTATGCTGGGCCATGAGTCTCACCCCCTGCAGGACGCTCTGTCTGCTCTGGAGAGCAGCTTCAGTGACAGACTGATTCACCCTCGCTGTGTGAAGGAGAGGTTTCGCAGGTCTTTCCTTCCTGCTGCTGTCAGACTTTACAATAAACACTGTTAACACTGAACATGTACCAGTCAATCATAACCATGTGCAATTATTTTTAAGTCTATTTTTAAATTATTTTTAAGCTATTATTTATTATCTGTGTTACCTTTTCCTGCTGTTCTGGAATAGTGCGTTGCAACACTGGAATTTCCCCACTGTGGGACTAATAAAGGCATATCTTATCTTATCTTATCTTGTCTCTTTGCTTAAAGTAAGAGTTATGGTGCAACAATCGCTAAAAAAGACAGAGTGCATTACATAGACCATGATCCTTTGCTCCAGTTCAGTGCAGACTGCATGAAGAAATAACAGTTCTAATCACTTTTAAGTCTTAGTTCTTTGGATTAAATCTTGTCAAGGCATTTTAAGAGGAAAAAGCAGCATATTAACCTCCACAAAATATCGCAATAAATATCGTACCGTGAGACTCGGATATTGTTACACCCCTAAATGTTACCTACTCGAAAACATACCTTGATATCTGTTTTGTTTCATTGAGTAATCCTGCATTGTTAGTCTGTCTAAATCTCTAAATCTGAAATGCTTTGTTCCACCCTGTAACGTTATGAAGCGGTATTATTCAAGTTAACTGCTCCCTTTTACGTTTTGCTGAGTAGAGATGAGAAAGTCCAGGGCTGCAATTATCAAAATGATTCTAGTGAAGGTGTATGGACTTTAAAAACACAGTGGAGCACTTTCTGTATTACCACATGACATCACAAGGTGGATCCCAGTCTAAATACGCAGGTTTTTGTGTTAAACACGTGTGAATGAAACAAAACACAACTCCAGGTATGTTTTTGATGAGGAAACAACATTATAACAACAGATTAGTGTGGGCTCTTTAAAGAAACTGAGGTGCACTTAAGTAAATACTTGGCTAAAAATATATTCAAGTACAAATACTGTTGTCAAAATTGTACTTAAAAGTAAAAGTTCTAGTTATTTTTTATTTCAAACACAATTTTAGGAGCCTTTTAGGACACACAAAAGCCCGGAGTGTTTCCAAATATACAATGTTGTGAAAAAAGATAAGCTAAGAAAGAAATAAACAGAACCTACAAGAAAAAAAAGAAATGAAACACTATCACAAGTTTGCATCAAAGAAGTGATGTATTCAACCCTCTACAGTTGAAATCTTGTTGTAGTTCAGGGAAATAACAGAAGGTTCCTCATTAGTACAAAGAAAAAGAATCCAGAACAACTAAAAATACTGAGTTCCAAAAATGACAATCATATTTTGAATTATCTTCTATAGACTAACATTTTGACAGACTTAAAGTAGGGATTATTATCTGGTTTCAGCTTTTTGACAATCTTAAACTGAAGATCTTTTTCATTAAATTACTATTTTTTTATTATCTCCATGCATTTCTCCACTAGGTCAATCACGATAACAAATTTTGAAGCAGGATATTTGGCCACAGAGAAAGAATGTGATAAGGAATAAAACTGAAACTACTTTAAATTTACCGTTTCTTTAAAAGGGCTGAGCTGCAATAAATAAATAAACAAATAGAAGAATGAACCAATAATTACCGATAGCAGTTATTTATTCTACTTTCTACAGCTAAAATTTTCTATTCGATATGATATAGTTCAAATCAATTCAGTACGGTTCAATAAAAATAAAGGCTAATTCGTTTGTGATCCTAAAAGTCTTTGTTAAGCCACTTCTTGCGCAAAGCTCATATGAAACACACCCATTTTAATCCTCAAACAGTGAAAATGTCAAATGTGTTTCATAAACAAGTTTCCTTCTTCTGAACAAGCAACAAAACTGTAGCTCTGTCACAAAAAAACTTTGTAAAATATACCACAAAATACTCTTGGCCCACAATATCAATCACATTAAACAATACGATATAAAGATATTTCAGTATTTTTGCACACCCCTAGTCTACTAATTATCGTGACAGGTCTAATCTCCACTATATTCACAAAATATTATAGCAATCCATGAGAAATGTAACTGCGAATGGACCATCTAATAACAATAAGTTAATAAAATAAATACATTTCACATGACACTCTGTGATATATCGCCAGTCCCAAAGCATTTTAGCAACGATATTTCCTCGTTAAACCCCCACTTGTGTAAAGTTATTACGAAATACATCTATTTTCATCATCAAAACGAGTTTCCTTCCACTGAATAAGCCACACAATTGTCATGCAGTCACAAAACAGAAAGCAAACTGCAGCTCAACAAAAGAAACAAACAAATATAAATAAATAAATAAGAAAGTATGAAAAATCTGACACTAATCGATACTGAAACTAGTAGAAAACTAGACTCATTTGAGCAGGTATTGATTAAAAAAAAAAGTCACATTCACAGGACAGAAATGAACCTTCCTGAACAGATTTTGAGCTGTATCAGAACAAGTATAAGAGCACAAAGACTAGTATACGCCCATGGACCACTATGGAAACTACCTGGCCTACTGAGGGATTAGATTAGATTAGATTAAATTGGATTAGATATAAAACCACAGGGTAACATAAAAGAAAGTACCAAGAGTTAATGCTGAAAATGGCATTCTAAAGTCTAAAGAAAGTAGGCCTGCTCAATAAAATTCATTATCACAATTATTTTGATCAATACTGAAATCACGATTATACAAACAATTATTTTTTAGTTACACAGTGCATTTATTCAGAATTTCTATATCTCTAATATAATAATAATAATAATAATAATATATAATCTCTAAAAAAACACTTTGTTATTGATAATTTAAGCAAAACTTTCAAATGCAACATATAAAACAAAATGAATAAATTAAAAAAGGCATAGAAAAACATAAAAGTATCCAAAATAAACTATATATCCAGCTGTTCTACAATCCCTGTATTTAAAAATAAAATAAATATACTTGATAAACTTTGTTAAGCTTTAATCGTTTCAACTCGATTATAAGAGTTTGGAGATCGTTTGACACACAAATCGAAATCGCGATGAAAATTCTGTTGATTGCACAGCCTTAAAAGAAAGTGTTTTTTCATCACTATTGATGTATTGGAATTTGGAATTGAGTATTGGGTTTTTTTGGCTATTGAAATTGAATTTGAAATGTTTATATCGCGACAACACTGCTACATATATTACTCAGCGTTCCTCAAGTTCACCAAAAAAAACAAAACAAAACAAAAAAGAAACACAGTGATATCAAATCTAGTACCTACCAATTCACTCAAATCAACTCTCCAAGTCAGTCTCTCTTCTCTTTCGTCTTCACTTCCAACACTCATCTATTGTTTATTGTGCTTGGACTGGGCTACACCACTCGGAGTTTGCGTGTGTGGGGGTGT